GGGGGTCCGGTCGTGGGGCCTGAACTCTGGGCCTGGGCACTGTCCCTCAGCTCTTCAGCTCAAGGCTAGCGCTCTACCACTTGAGCCACAGCACCAACTTCTGGCTTTTCTCTTTTTGCTTATGTGGTGCTGAGGAATCGAACCCAGGGCCTCATGCATGCAAGGCAAGTGCTCTACCACTGAGCCACCTTCCCAGCTCCTTTGTTTTGTTTTTTGAGATGGGTCTCACTATGTGTCTAGACTGGCCCTGAACTTCTAGACTCAAGTAATCCTGCTTCAACTTCCCAAGTAGCTGGAACTTCAGGTTCATAACATTATATCTGGCTTTCAAACTGACAATCATTAAAGAAAAATATAGTTAAGAGTTCAGTCAGGCGCTACTCCTAGCTACTCAGGAGGCTGAGATCTGACTAAGGATCATGGTTCAAAGCCAGCCCAGGCAGGAAAAGTCCATGATACTCTTATCTCCAATAAACCACTCAGAACACTGGAAGTGGCGCTGTGGCTCAAGTGGTAGAACACTAGCCTTGAGCTGAAAAGCTGAGGGACAGCACCGAGGCCCAGAGTTCAAGCCCCACAACTGACAGAAAAAAAAAAAGAATTCAGGATCTGGAGTGCATACACACACACATACATGCATGCACACACACACACACACACAATTCAAGGTACATATATAAACTTGTCTGAAGATTCATTGTAGATATCTAGTAAGTATATTCAAAATTATATATCCTTGATTTAGCAGCTCATTTCTAGTAATTTATCCTAACCAAATAATTTGGCATACAAAAATGTAAATAATGGTAACTTTCAACAGAACTGTTGATAACACAATTAAAAATTGTGGAATTCTTCAGAGGCTCTCCTCAAGTGGTAGAGCGCTAGCCTTGAGCAAAAAAGCTTAGGGACAGCATCCAGGCCCTGAGTTCATACCCCAGGACTGGCACCAAAAAAATAAAAAGTATAAAAATTGCACATTTAATACAGATAAAACACTTAGCATACTATGGCACAAAAGCTAAGGGACAATGACCAGGCCCTGAGTTTAATCCCTAGTACTTGAACAACAACAAAAAAAAAATTAGCCATACAACCTCCTAAAGTAAACCTACTTACCTTTCCTTTTTGCATACAACACTTTTTTTGGGGGGGGTCCGGTCGTGGGGCCTGAACTCTGGACCTGGGCACTGTCCCTCAGCTCTTCAGCTCAAGGCTAGCGCTCTACCACTTGAGCCACACCGCCACTTCCGGCTTTTTTCTTTTTGCTTATGTGGTGCTGAGGAATTGAACCCAGGGCCTTGAGCATGCAAGGCAAGCGCTCTACCACTGAGCCACCTTCCCAGCCCCTTGCACACAACACTTTTGTAGAGTACCGACCACAAGCAAGCCATGAAACCCAGGACTCAACACTGTCCTGACATTCTCAGCTTCATTCTTTGCACTGGGTTAACAGCAGAAAGAACATCCAGAGCTGACTTCTGCTGCCAGGCATAACCCAACTGCTTATTTGGGCACAGTACTTTTTAAATGCACAGAATATGGGTATACATATTTTATGTTGTGAAATAGGCAGGAATTATTAACCACATTACACAAATGGAGAAACTAAGGCATTTCAGAGGAGATTAAACATTTATTCCATGTTATAAGATACTGCTTTTCATTTGTCCCATTAGCAACTCTGGGATTCTCAGACATTTTGATTGTCACAATTTTGGGGTTACTATGTGTAAAGGTCATGAAATGCTGCTCAAGTCCCTCCAATGCCCAAAATGTACAAATACAATACCTGTCATCCCCCCATAACAAAGAATCATCTGATCCAAAATGTCAACAACAAAGGGAGGTTGAAAAACACTATTATA